TTGTCAAAAAGAGAAAGTGAATCGTTAGAAGAACCAGCCCAAATATGACAACAGTATTCCATACAGGGACGAATAAGAGATTTGTAGAGGTAGAGAATGGAATCAGAAGTAAGAAAATGGCGAGCACGATAAAGAGAAGCAACCTTAGCAGAAGCTAATTTAGCAATCAATTGTATATATGGTTTCCATGAAAGGTCAGTAGTAAGCGATAATCCAAGAAGACGTAAAGAGGACGACTCAGTAAGAGGATTGCCATTCATTAATATAGGAATGTTGACCATATTACGGTAGTTGTTTGCAGTAAACAACTGGCTTTTTTTAGAGTTGAAATTCACAAGCCACTGTGAACCCCAATCTATTACTGAAGTGAAATCGGATTCAAGATCAGCTGCTTGTTCTAGGCGATCGAAAAGAGAAGACTTTTTGTCAAGACAGGAGTATAAAGTTGAGTCATCAGCAAAAAGAGCTACTTTAGATGAAAGGTTGTCAAGAAGATTGTTTCTGTAGATAAGAAACAAAACAGGGTCCAGGATGGAACCTTGGGGAACCCCAGAAGTTAATGGAAATAAAGAAGAGTGTTGGCCTTCAAGGATGACTTTAATAAACCGGATAGAAAGAAATGATTTGATAATCTCAAAAACTTTCCCGGAAACACCATATGAAGCAAGCTTATGGAGAAGACCAGCATGCCAAACTTTGTTAAAAGCTTTAGATATGTCGAGAGCAATAGCCCTAGCCTCACCGCCTCCATCTAATGCACGATAAAATCTTTTAATTACAGCAGTTAGCAAGTCGGCCGTAGAGCGAGAGGATCGAAAACCGTATTGATTGTCTGACAGTAGTTTATTTGACTCAAGATGAGATGTGAGGAATTTGTTGATCAAAGACTCAAAGACCTTGCTAATAACAGAAAGAAGACTGATCGGACGATAATTGGAGGGGTCAGAATTTTCTCCGGAGTTTTTGAATTTTGGAACCACAGATGCCATTTTCCAACAAGCAGGAAAACAAGACTCAGTCAAACACTTGTTAAATAGTTTAGGAAGAATTGAAGAAAGTTCTAGAGAACAATTCTGCAAGACTGTGACAGGAATGTTGTCTGGACCACAAGCTGTAGACGAATTTAATTGAGATATGACTTTAGCAACAGAAGCCGGAGTGATTTGAATGTCTAACAATGGGTCAACCTGTTTGACTGGAATGGAAGAAAGAGAATGTCCATAAGATTCAAGAGTGGAATTAGAAGAAAAGTTTTTTGCAAATAGTTCTGCCTTATCCTTGGAAGAGGTAATAAGATCAGTCCCATAAATGAGAGATGGAATGTTAGATCTACCCTTGTTAACAATGCTGTTAAAGATTTTCCAAAAGTCTTTAGAGCCTAACTTCTGCGATAAGATGCGAGATTTAGTGAACTGAGAATAATGGAGTTTAGCATCAGAAAGCACCTTTTTACATTGATTTCTTGCAATAATAAATAGCTGTTTGTTCTCGAGAGAGTTGTTCTTTTGAAAAAGATGAAAAAAATGATTACGATTGGATATAGCAGCCGCACAAGAAGGAGAAAACCATGGAGTAGAATGAGGCCTGACTTGAAACCGACACGAAGGAATAAAAGCTTCCATTCCAGCCTGAATCCAGGAGGTTATGTAGGAGGCGCATTTGTCAGCTGAGAGAGAAAAAACATCAGCCCAAGGACAATCACGAAGAAAATCACGAAAGGAATCCCAGTCAGCTTTAGGGTAGTAGTAGGTGGTGCGATGATAAGGTGAGCCCAAAAAAGAAGTACGAGAAGAAAGATTTATAGAGATCATTGCATGGTCAGAACCACCTAAGGGAGAAAAGGGAGAAACTGAACATAAGCTAGGGTCAGAGACAAGACATAAGTCAAGGAGTGAAGGTAAATGATTAGGGTTGTCAGGAAAACGAGTCACAAAGTTAACTATCTGAGTAAGAGATTGAGAAACGCAGAAGTTAAAGGCTTTAGTGCCAGCAGAATCAGTGGTGTTAGAGCCAAGCCATTCAGTGTGATACGCATTAAAATCACCAACAACAACAATATTGGCAAAGGGGTAAAGAGAGAGGGCATGGTCAATTTGATCAGAGATAACATCTAAGAGAGTGCAATCATGGGAAGAAGGAGAACGATAAAGAACAAAGAGAAAGGTGATAGAGTGAAGAGGTGCTAGGCGAAAGCACATAAAAGAATGGTCAAAGGATTCGAACCTGATTTTACGACAAATAGGGGAATTAATGCGTATGTATACCCCTAAACCTAGCATGTGACTATTGGAGTCTTTACGAATCAAAGGATAGTACCCATCAACACTGACATCTGAAGAAGGAATTGCAGAATTTAAATTTGTTTCACTGAGTGCAAGCAAGTCTGGTGAATTCTGCAGGAGGTAAGACTCAACTGATGGAATGTTGTTTCGTAGACCGCGAATATTTGTAAAAGACATATAAAAATATTTAGGTGGTGGGGTTGGTTTTTTAGGCTTTAAATTTTTGGTTACTTTGGTCATGATTTGGGTTTAATGAGAACTTGACTCATTCATAGATAGAGCACAGCCTCTTAATCAATGAGCTATGCAGTTGTCTCTGTCCTGTTAATTAACCCTAAGCCGTGACATAGGGCTCCTTATGTGGCCTTGACAATGCACACCAAAAGCATTAACAGGGACACCTGCGCAACATGGCACTGTTAATACTCTGATATTTTGTAGCTGTTGATGGAATCAGCCTCTCTGAGAGCTACCACAAAAACCTTCGGGAAACCTTACTACCAGCCGGCCTCAGAACCATTAAACTGAGTTTTAGAGCTGTACCCTCATATGGAGATAACAGGAAGAGTTGCATAGCCATTATCAAGAAGGCATAAGCAAAATTCTATGAGTAGAGTCAAGGAGATCCAGCATTCATCATCCCAGGCAGGAAACAATGTAACACAGGTTACATCTACGCCAGCCTAATAGATGAAGAAGTGGTTCGAGGCTGGATAGCAGAATTTTTCTGCTTACCCCTAAATTCTTTGCCTAGGAGGCCTTCTACAAGACAGTAGCTGGATGCAGTTAACATCTGCCCAAGATGAGTATTTTTATCGAGACACCATTTTTAGCCTTTACTCAACCAAGAGCCCCAAGGCAGGGGATGTTTAGCTGGATGCAGTTAACATCTGCCCAAGATGAGTGTTTTTATCGAGACACCATCTCTAGCCTTTACTCAACCAAGAGCCCCAAGGCAGAGGAATTTTTAGTCAGAGTTTATTTCTCCTAGCCTTTGCCTAAGAGCACTCTCTGCAAGGCAGCAGGGCTTGTGGCATGTGGTACTGGGTTACGTGATACCAGTAGCAAGATTGGTCTCGATTATCCTGACTTGACCTGGAGTAGTTAAAAAGAGTTACTTCCCGCAAAATTTTTTTGAGAAAACCAGGCATGATATTTTGGAAGTGCATTAGGAAAATACTGCATCTAACAAAGTACAGGAGTCTAAGGTGAGTGTAGGTTTTGTAGTTGGAGTAAGTAGTTAGTTACTGAGCTCACGCTGCATTAGAGTATAAACAGAACACAAACAAACGTAAATCAACTTACGGGTCAACACCGCGCCAGAGGTTCAGACAGAACACAAACATATATAAAAAACATAAAGTAACTTACGGTTGAGCGAACACCGCGCCAGAGGTTCAGACAAAACACAAACATACATAAAAAAACATAAAAAACATAAACATAAACATAAAGTAACTTACGGGTGAGCGAACACCGCGCCAGAGGTTCAGACAGAACACAAACATACATACAACGTAGATTACAGGTGAGCTAATACAGTAACTAAGGCACCTCCAACTATATGAAAAAAAAAAAAAAAAAAAAAAAAATTACTATAGGCATGACTGATATTAGATAGTACTGATGACAGGAAGAACACTCCTTCCAGCCTTTGCTTAGAAAGCAAATCCTGCAAGGCAGCAGAACATGGAACAGGTTGCACTGGGTTACATGTTACCAGTAGCAGGATGATCATAAAGACCATACTCCTGACCTGACAGATGACCTGATGACTGGACTTGATAAGAATGACCTGACTTTTTGGACTTGATAAGAATGATGACCTGACAGATGACCTGATGACTGGACTTGATAAGAATGACCTGACTTTCTGGAGGTCTATAGCAAGTGGAAATTATAATATTTTTTAATTTATTTTCCGTTTTATCTATAGTAAAGACTTTGCTATCGGTGTCAGAGATGGAGAAGTCTTGTCTTACTTTAAATGATCATTTCGGATATACGTTGCAATTCCCCCTTTCCTTTTTGTTTGTTTTTTCTTCCAAAAGATATTAAATAATATCTGAAAAATTTTAAACAAACTCTTTAATGAAAGAATTTGTTTGAAATGATGTATCAGAACACCACGTTTCGGTTATGCAAATCATACTGAATGAGTAGTAGCAATTAATTAGAAAGTGTTTTAGTTTGTCAAAATTTTTATTTTAGTTCAATTTTAAGAGTTTCTGTTTCAAAATAATTTAAATTAAAAATATATCCGTGAAAAAATTGCGCTTTAGAGTCGTAAAAAACATTTTTTTTCCAACTATTTCAAAGCATCAAATTGCTTTGAAATAGTTGCTTCATTTTAACTCAATTTGATATACCTATAACTCAATATTCTGAGGAAGCCCTAGAAAGCCTCAATAAACTGATTCGAAATGCAAGGTTGCAATTTGAAAAACCTTGATTTTTAACTTTTTTTTTTCTTAAAAAAAAAAGTTAAAAATCAAATTTCATGCGTGTTTGCGCGTGCAAATGTGCGCGCTTGACTCGCAGGATTACGCGTTCGTGTGTGAATTAATTTAATACTGATAAGTTTTGGTACTTAAAACATAAATTTTAAACTATAAATGTTTACAGTTTTTAAAGTTTTTTAACGCGTGTCTAAATACGTACATGCGTGTGTTACGAGTATTTATTGAGAAAATCTATAATAATTGAGGAAAAAAAGTATAGTATACAATTCTTTTATAATCATTTAAATAAATACATTTATTACATTTTTATTTTTCTAAATATTTCTTAAAACTTATTTAGCAAGAATACTCGGAGCATTGGGTGTTGTTGGTGTTTTTGCTTGCGATAGTGATATTCGAAGTTGAATAACTTTGTTATAAATTAGACCACCAAGGTAACCGAATTCCGCCATATATTGATGTTGTAAATCAGGGGGTGAGCGAGTTTTAACAATAGCTATGGATGCATGCTTAACTAGAAGTGCTTGTAAATGTTCTGCTGCATCTTTTTCTGATGGATTCTCCATTGCTTCCAGAATTAAATCACTTTCATTTTTCAGACGTGGAATAAGTATAACTTTTATAGCCTTCGAAAAAAAAATTGAACAAAAAATTTTAATGCATATACATATTTATAAACAATTTTTCAATTAAATTTAAAGAAACGCGTTTTATAAAAAATTTATAAAAATCATTTTTAAGCTTAACCTTTGTGTCTATATGTCAAAATAATTATTATATGCAGCCCTCGGAATTAGGAAAAATAATTTTAAGTCTGCAAAAAAATGCTGACCTTAAACTATTTTTAGGCCGCATCAAGTCGGCACAAAATTTAGAAACAGGGTTGGACTAATCAACGAACGTGCAAACGTTTAGTATTAAATTGGCAAAAAAACAAACGCCGAGATCGCTGACTTTTCATTTTAACATGCAAAAACAACAAGAAATAACTGGCTACTAATTAAAGTTACAAAAATGCGACTTGAATATAATAGAAGCTCATTATTCTCCGATTTGAATATACTAGAAGTTCTTTCTATTACTCTGGTGCTAGAATGTATAATGATAAACCATTTTAAGTAAGAAAAATTAACACGTTGACTGAATTTGAAAATAAGTTAAATATATATTTTAAACAGTTGCTTTTATGACATTTTTAATGGCTTTTTTATTTAAATTAATTTTAATTTTTATTATAGGTATCTTGTATACTTGTAAGTATACAAGATACTTATAATAAAAAGTAATAAGTATCTTATATACTTGTAATACTATGTAATACTTGTCTAATAAAATATATATATATATATATATATATATATATATATATATATATATATATATATATATATATATATATATATATATGTATAAAATGAGAATAAATATATTGTCTATTTTCAGGTGGTTAATACACGGGAGGGAACATTCATTAAATTTTGAATAATTCCTCCTCTCCCACTTCCTATATTAATTTTATCCTATTATCACTAAAGAAAATGATTGACCATCTCAAAACTAAAAATAAAAGAAAAAGACCTGAACATTCTGCTGTGATGAATTCAATGTCAAGTTTTGTACTTGATTGGTCAAGTTTGATTGGTTAAGTTTTAATTGGTCAAGTTTTGATTGGTCAAGTTTTAATTGGTCAATTTTTGATTGGTTAAGTGAAACACTACTTAAAGCCTTAGTTCTGATTCAATATCTAAGTTCCTCATATTTGAAAGTCTATTTGTTTGGCAGCTATTTTATTATCACGATGGTTGTTTTCTTCATAAACAAATTTTTTCTTTTTTTCCAATATTGTATTTGTTTCGAGTTTACATCATAGTCTTTTCAAATCCCAAGTGAAAGTTTCAGAGCTCCAGTTTGTCTGGAAGGTAGTGAAAAATATATCACAAGATTCTGCTAAAAAAAGTGGGGCACATGCTTCAACTTCCCCACCCTCAATGTCTTAGGGCCCTGGAAACAATTTCAACATGCAAGTTCATTGGCACTACAAAAATACCAGTTTCAAATATCTAGCTAGTCTGGAATGTAGTGAATAATCAATTGCAATATTCTGCTAAAAAATAAAAGTGGGACCATGCCCCGTTAACAATATATGGAAATCCATATACTTGCAAATCTCTATATTTCTGAAAGATCAATGAATATAGTAATGATATGTAATAATTATAAAATGTCAATGACATTTAATAAATTTTTTTTTATATCATCAAGGCCACATAAGTTTCTGGAGCATTAAAAACAGGTATATAAAAAATTAACTTTATTTAAATTGATTATTACAGGTACTTAATAATAATTTTTTATTTTTATTTTATTGGATTCATCACCTTTGAAAATAGCCAGATACAAATTTTTAAGTAAAAAGATCAAATATTTTTAAAGCTACCGATTTGAAACCTCTAAATAAATGTAATTCTGCGGGGACAAGAGGGGCCTAGCCAATAACTATTAAAAGTCAAATGGTCATACTTCATGATCTTCTTGGAGCTAGAGGCTAAAATTTTCAAGGAATTTTTATTTTGAGTTCTCTCAACTGTATAAAGATATGCAAAATCTGAGATATATGATAACATTTTTAAAAATATCTGGGCCAATTGACATAAAATTAACCTATAGTATTCATTTCAGAAATATGTTTCATTTGAAAAAGTGAGTAAGAAACTATTCTTTAATTTAAACTACTAGAAAAAAAATATTTTGAAAATTCAAACTTTTGTAGTTTATTGTAAATTATTAATATCACTATGTTTATTATAAAAATTGGTTTTGAAAAACTATAATTAAGTTTGTAATTTTTATCAATTTTAAGGTGATATATGTATATATATACATATACATATATATTTATATATATATATATATATATATATATATATATATATATATATATACATATATATATATATATATATATATATATACATATATATATATATATATATATATATATATATAAATATATATATATATATATATACATATATATATACATATATATATATATATATATATATATATATATATATATATATATATATATATATATATATATATATATATATATATAAATATATATATATATATACACATATATATATACATATATATATATATATATATATATATATATATATATATATATATATATATATATATATATATATATATATATATATATATATATATATATATATATATATACATATATATATATACATATATATATTTTATATATATATATAAAATATATATATATATATATTTTATATATATATATATATAAAATATATAGACCTTAATTCCAAGGGTTGATATATATATATAATATATATATATATATATATATATATATATATATATATATATATATATATATATATATATATATATATATATATTTAACGAAAAGGTAATTTTTTTTTAATGAAAAAAACGTATGTATTTTTTACCTGATGATTGCAAAATGCATGAAACTTTTATGTTGTTATTTTTATTAAATTTCGTCAAAAAATCAATTATATAGCTCTGGTATCACTCATCAAGCACTCTTGCTGAATATATGCACACAGCAAAATTAAATTTTATATATATATATATATATTATATATATATATATATATAAATATATATATATATATATATATATAAATATATATATATATATATATATATATATATATATATATATATATATATATATATATATATATATATATATATATATATAAATTGAGAAGTAAGACTGATTTTTTCCACTTATTTATAAAAACCATTTTTTTTTATATATAAAATTACAGTACATGTTTCGACTATTTTATAGTCATCTTCAGTTAGGTTAAAAAAACTTATTCAATTTCATATACAAGGGTATAAAATATAAATTACAATTTATTTTTTTAATAATTGCAACAAAATAGGTAATAGAAAAAACTATATAATAAAAAAGTTATTAAATTGCTTATAAAAGGTTAATGACTAATAAAATGGTAACTTTTATATGAAAAGTGATATTTTATAATGTTTGTTTCAATGAACAAACTTTCCTTAATCTTAAGCTCAAATTTATTGAGAAACAGTCAGTACAGGGCTTAAAATATTTTTTCAAAGCTTGCCAATCAAATGTAATTTTTTTCACAAAACAGGTTATTTTCCATTGAAATGTCCCTAAAAATAGCCGAAAATTGATCGACGATCGGCCATTATTTCAAGCACGGCATTATTATAATTATTGTATATGTGAAACTTATGTCTCTCCTGTAGTGTTAAATCATTCATGTTTTAAGGTGGCAAAAAGTTTTGCCTATGTAATATCTCTATAATAGGAAATCTTTATAATATCTCTATAATATCTATATAATAGGAAACTATAATAATTATGAGATAGTTTTCTAGTAAAAATAAGGTTTCTAGTAAATAAAAAGGGTAACCATACTTTAAAAAAACAAAACCGAAAATAGAAATGTGGGATGCAAAAATAGAAAGGATAAAAAAATATGGTAAAGACTGATAAAAATTTATGGTTAATATTACTTGATTGATGATCTGCTCAACTCCAACCTAAAAAGGCCCTAAAAAACTCTTCAAAAAAGAGCCTAAAATATAGGGTAGTTTAAGTCAGTATAAGACATCAGGTAATATGAGACAAATTTTCAATCCTCTCTGGAGACACTTTATAATGGTTGCCCTATTATAAAGAATTTATTTTATAATTTTGTTTGCTAAGCTAAGGACATCTGTTTTTCAGAATGTTCAATTTGTTTGATAAAAAATAGATAGTTTTATTATGACTTTGTAAAGCTATTATATTTTTCAATGCGTTTCACAGCGAAGACATAATTGATACAAGTTTTAGTTTTGATAAATACTAACAAGTACCAGTTTAGTGTTGATTGTGTTTAGAAAAAAACTTAATTGTTATTTATTTATCCAAAAGAAAAGTTAACTTAGTATGATTTGTAAGGTAAAATCATTATATTAACACATGGTCTGTGGGAAAGATGAGACCATCCATCATTAAAATTTATAAAAAAAGATAAATTTTTTTGACATCTTCACTTCCAACAAGGCTGCAAGCAACCACTATTAGAGTTGGAAGTTACAGGAAGAAAAAAGATGAAGATTGTAGAGCAAGATAAAGATTGACAGACGACAGAATTTAAGTATTTATAAAAAAGAGAAAAAGAAGCAACATTACTATAGTGTAATAATGGTTGCAAGTTGGCTGCAAGTGCAGGTCCAACAATTTTTACAATGCATTTTTGTACCTTGTTTAAAAGAGAAAGGGCATCATCGGAAGATCTGCCCCAGATATGTCAACAGAGTTCCATAAAGAAAAAGATTTGAGATTTATAAAGATAAAGAATAGAATCCTGAGTAAGAAAGTGGTGAGCACAATAAAGAGATAATTTTGCAATCGATTTGATATATGGTTTCCAAGAAAGATAGGAAGTAAGAGTAAACCTGATACAGCAGAACTCAAATTAGTCTCACAAAGAGCAAGTAGGTCTGATGAACTTTGCAAAAGACTCAACAGAAGAAAAGTTAAATCAAAGACCAAGAATATTAGTGAATGATAGATTTAGAGGACTTAGTTCTTTATAGTTTTTGAGTCTTTTTTCATTTTTGAATTTGTTAAAAAACTTGACTCAAAACACATGTAGTACTCAGTACACTATTTAGTAGTCCAAGCAATTGCCTTGTTACTAATAATAAACCCTAAGTACTTTATGTAAGAAGTTAAAGAAACAATTATATATAACTTAATTTGATAAAGAATATTTTGACAATCTAACAAAGACTGGAATATGTAAAAAAATAGAGTGAACTTTTTCTAGGTACAACTCTACTTGAGAACAAGCTTTAAGACCAAGACCAAAACAGTTTAATAGGAGTCTTTTGTGATTTTGTGGTTTGATAAAAAAATGATTAATTTGCAATTAAATTAATGGCTTTAACTTTAAGACGGTGTCGGGATGTTGAAGGAAAGTCAAAAGTAATTAAAGATGACATATTTGCTGTCTAAAGAGTCATTTTTTACTTTCCGTACTCTTAAAAGCAACAATTTATAGAACGATATATATATATATATACAAATAGTATTGTGTACTAAGGTAAGCAATCTGACGTCATACTGAAATAGCCTGCTGCTGGAAGCTTCAGTACATACATCGACTGACAAATAGCCTGACTCGCAGTGGAATGCTGCTACATCAACTGAGGGTTTAGAATGGGGCAGCAATCGCTTCATTCATCATTCTTCGTTTTTTTTTTCTTTTTCTAAAAAAGCCGTATGGATTAAAATAAGCAAAAAAAGTGAGCAAATGCTTATAAAAATACGCTTTAGTAAGTGTGTGTGTGTGTGTGTATATATATATAATATATATATATACATATATATATATATATATATATATATATATATATATATATATATATATATATTATATATATATATATATATATATATTATATATATATGTATATGTATATATATATATATATATATATATATATATATATATATATAGTATATATATATATATATATATATATATATATATATATATATCAGGGCATCCGCTCAGCTAGAAAAACTTTAAATATTATTATGAAATTTTAAACTAACCTCTAATCCAATCTCTGCAAGTCCAGCAACAGCACCATAATGACTGGCTGCAGGAGCTTTATCTAAAAACAATGTTTTACATAAAGCTTTTGTCACCCTAGATTGAATATTGTTAGTGGGAGTGGTAAAATGTTTGCATATTTGAGCTAATAATCTAGCAGCAAAATCTCTAAGTGCCCAATGATTGTCAAAGTCAGGTCGCGGACATAGCTGTTTACTGACAACACAAGTAATAACTGCAGGAATAAGTTCATGTAGATACTTTTCAATGTATAATGTAGAATTTTCCATTAAAGCTTTTATCATTCTTAATAAATAAATAAGAAGAGCTAAATTATGTTGTCCTACATTCACCTTTACACCCTCAGCAATAAAAGTGGTAAAACGTGGTAGAAGTTGATATAGTCCAGGATCATTTGAAAGGCTATTTAATGCTTCTGTTCGTTTAACCTCATTTGAACCAACACAAGCTTCTGTTATTTCCTTATAAAATAACTGCTGTTCAACTGACAGCTCATGAGTAACAAGAGGTTTAAATCTTTTTATTTCTTGTTTTCCAAAATCAAGTTTTTTGGTATCTTCTACTTTTTTTTTATCTTTTGAATCTTTAGTTTTTATATCTTTCAATTGTGATTTATTATCTTGTGAAAAATCGGTTATATTTACTTCACAAACAGCAGGGTTTGCAAATGCAGAAGCAACTTCTTGCATTTGCATATCTTTAGAAATAGGCGGAGGATTTTCAGGAATAGCAGGTTGGATTCCATCAATCGCTAACCAATGTGATTTGATTGTTACTTCAAGAGGTATTTTAGGCAAATTTTGAGATATAATATCTTCTAAATCAACTTCTGTTTCTTCCTTAAAATAAACTTCTCTTCCTCCACCACTGGCATTACGGAATGGGACAAAATCGGAGGAGCTAAAACCGTATACAGGTTCTACATTTTGAACTTTCAATGAATGATCTATATCACGAGAAGTTAATTTTAGTCTTTTAGATTTGTTCTGAAATTTTACAGCTTCTTGAATTACTTTTTTAACTTTAAACGTTATATTATCAGCTAAATATTGTAGAACATCATCGGGAGGTTTATCATAACTATTTGATTCAACTATAACCTTAATTATCTCGCTGGTAAAAGCACTGTCAACAATTTCTTTGGTTTTTTCATCAAAACCTTGTCCTTCAGACATTATTTATAATATTTATTATAGTATTGCGTCAAGGTATAGAATTTAGACAAATTTCTTTCTGGGTCGTCCATAAAGTACGTACGCTTTTTTTTTCGTCCAATTCCCCCCCCCCCCCCCCCCCCCTATTTTGCATTTTGCAATACGCTTTTTTGAGTACCCTCCACTCCCTAAAACTATCTACGCTTTTAACCTATTTATCTAACATTTTATAATATTTTTTTAATTTAGTGTCTCCTTTCTTTTATAATTGACTCACTGCCCTCCCATCTCATATACGCCATTTGCAGAATCCTCTTCCCCTGCGAGCGTACGTACTTTACGGACGATCCCTAAGTATTAAATCTAAATAGTGATCTTCCTCAAAATTGTTATTTTTTAATATATTATTACTATTTATACAAAAAACTCAATTTCAAAATTTTTTCAAAATGTATTATTTGGCTCTGTAGCTACAGAGCCAAATAATATTTTTTAAATACTAATCAATATTTTTTAAATACTAATCGAAATCTAAAAACATCTATATCTACGTAGATATAGATGTTTTTAGATTTCGATTAGTATTTAAAAAATATTGGTTATACATAAGTAAATCATTTCTAGGTTTATAAATTAGTTTTTCAGAAATATAAATTAAAGCTCCTCCAAATGATGCTTCGGTTGGAGCATGTTCATAAACATATCCATTAAGATTTATAGGAACTGTCGGTAAATCATATTTCAGCTTGGATTCCGTTATTCCGATAACGCTGAATTCATAACATAGATTAGATGAAGAAGTGAATTTAATTCATAAAAATGTTTAACTAATGAAGCAATGTTCAAATGAAGAAGAGAAAAACAATTATGTGTGATTTTTGAAGAGTTAATTTTTAATATCTATATATTTACAATTAATTGGATTGTCAACTACGTTCATATCATCATCGTTGTTATTATTTAGTTGATAAGAGAAAAAGTTATTAAGTTGATTGAAAATATTAGATTCTAGAGAGGTAGGAAAGAGTGAAAGGTCATTTGGGAGTTCATCGAGATGTAGTATACTATCAATTGACGATTGAAGGCGAAGCTCATTATCCGATATAGAACAAAAAGAAAAGATACTAATGTGGCATGTTATACAAAGCCAAAAATTGATGGAAGAGTTTATTGATGATCTAAAATCAATTTTATCCAGAGAACATTTATTATGGAATGAATTTAAACAGTGTTTATATTGAAACGAAAGATGGTTAGCACGAATATGTTTATTACAAATTTTACAAAGTTGAGACATTATAGTAGAAATTAGTTTATAAAGTAAGCTATAGATATAAATAAGATTATTAGTAACTTAAACAACAATAAAATAGCAGAAGAGAATATACTAAAATATAAAAATGACAATAATTAAGATAATAATATTGGCAATACGAACTAATAAATACAACTAATAAAATAATATACATATATATATATATATATATATATATATTATATATATATATATATATATATATATATATATATATATATATATATATATATATATATATATATGTATGTATATATATATTTAAAAATGTTTATATTAACTGTTATTAAACACCCTATGTGTAATATAAATATATTTATAAGTTAAAAAATACAATCTAACAAATATAGTTTAATATCAAGCAAGAATAAAAGATAAAAAAAATAATAAAGTATTATTTGAGAAACTTTTTTTTCAAGAATATTTTTAAAAATTGTTTGCTTTTGCTTTGCGTTCCAATATTGAACTGCTAGTAATTTTTCACATCAAGAGAAAAAATATCTTTTCAAAAGAATGTGAGAATGTTACACCACTTTACCTTATTTATTGTTAACAAAA